GAATAATTTAATTATATAAAGTTGTTTTGATATATTTTCTTCTTTTTTTCAGCATGTCATCACAATAGAAATAAACTATATCCAAGTTTTAACATATTTAATTAATTTATCTTTTGATGCTTATGTTAAAACATAATATTTTTATTTATTGACCCTTCTTTTATCAGTTGTTAAGAATATTAAGAATTATTCTATTTTGGGATAAGCTTTTAAAAAAATTGTATTAATTATAATTTACCTGTTTGCTTTAATAAGAATACTTACAGTTATTAAAATATTTTGCAAATATCCTTATATCTAACGAAAAATTAATTATTGTTTCTGATGAAATATAAATAACTAATGTCAATTTAAAAATAATTAAATTAATTTCTTTTTATTAAATAGTAATTAATATAGTATTTTAATAGCCTTCATTACATTTCTTATTTCAAAATAACCAATGTATTCGTTTAATATTCTTCCGTAAATAAGATACTTCGATTTTTTTAAAAGTTAAATAATTTTAAATTTTATAAATTTGATAATATCAATATACATTTTATAAATAAAAAAAGTTTTCTTGTTTTAATTTGTACTCTAAATTATTACTTGAATATTATGACATATATATAAACAATTGTGATTATAATGTTTATAATTTAGTTAAAGATTAATAAAAATAAATTGAATTCAAAATATTTTAGTATAAATTATAAATAAGCAAAAATATAGATATAATATATATAAATATATATAAATATATATAATATATATATATATATATAAACATATATATATACTCATTTCTTTTAATATTTATTTAAAATAATTTAATTAATATCATTAATGTTTTTATCCTAATTACAATTTTTATTTTTATTTTTTATTATTATATATCATTATTTATATAAATATAAATATAAAAATAAGAAAAATAAAACAAGTTTAAAAATAAAAATTATTTTATTTATTTGATATTTCTTTTATTTTTTTATTTAATAGGTTAAACAAAAATATATATAAATGTAAAAGAATAATTTATTAATATTTCTTGTATTAAAAATTTTTATTTTTTAAAAAATATATATATATATATATATTAATTATAATTATTTTATATAAAATAAATTATTTATTAATATTATATTTATTTATAAATATTATTTTTTTATAAAAGTATTAAAGAAAAATAATAATAAACATATCATATATATGGATTTTATTTAGATTAAATAATTATGATAATATTTTTATTTTAAAATATAAAACACAAACTAATATAATTAAAATTAAGTAAATAAAAAAAAAAAATATATAAGAATAAATTATATTTATATAAAAATTATATTAAGAATAATTATATGTAAATATATATATGTATATAAATATAAAATTATATATATATTTATATAAATATTTATATTTAAATATTTAATATATTTATTAATATATTTAATATATTTAATATATTTAATATATTTAACATATTTAATATAATTAATATATTTAATATATTTAATATATTTTACTTCTTATTATTAACAAATACTTATTATATGCATATATAAGTTTTTTCTATTTTAATAAATATCTTTTTAATCTTTAAATATATAATTCTTATGGAATTATGTGTAATTTTAATATATATAGGAAAAAATATTTTATTCTTAATAGTTATTATAAATATATTAATGATTATTAATACAATATTTAAATCATTTTATAGATCTGAATAAAAAGAATTATAATAAAAATATAAATATGATATTATTTTAATTAAATAATGATTTTATATATTTTACATTATATATTAAAAAAAGTATTTACTTATTTTTTAAAAAATATTAATAATAATTTTGAATTTTTTTTTTAATAAATAAAATGTTTTTAATAAAATGAAAGTTATTAATATATTTTTTAATTAAAATTTTTTATTTATTTATAAAATAAATATAAAAGTTAAATATTTTATATAATATTTATTAATTAAATTATATTATAAAAGAAATTTTAATTAAATAAATATATAATATATTAACTATTTTTATATTATTTTTAATACATATTTAATTAATTTTTTTATTTTTTATTATATGTTATTTTAAAAAATATATTAAATTTTATATTATAAAAAAATCATATTTTTTTATATTTTTTTTTTTTATATAATATTATTAATATTATATATTATTTAATAATAATTATATATTATATTCTTTATAAAATAAATTTATATTTTTTTTTTATATTTTTTTTATATTATTTAGATAATATTTCTTTTATTATAAATAATTAATATAATATACATTTAATTTTATTTTTATTATTATTTTTTAATTTTATAATTTAATTAAAAAACATAATTTATATTTTCTTATTATATTTTTTATATTTAGTATTTTTAAAAAATAAAATTATAAATATATATAATCTATGTCATAGCCTTACATATATTTATATATATATATATATATATATATATATATTTAAATTATATTCATTATTTTGGTATTATAAAATTTTTTGAAAGTTTTAATAAATCACATTCTTTTCTTGTAGTTTCTTAAATAATATTAAAGTAAGTATTTTCAAAAATAAGATCAACTAAATCTAAAAACGGTTAATTTAAAAATAACAATCTCTGGTTTTTAAAATCTATAGTTTATCTTTTACTCATATTTAGATTTTCAATATGAATATTTTAATTTTCATCTACCATCTAATTAATATCTTATAAATTTTTAATTTCATTTTTTTATTAATCGTTTTCTATTCCTTTACTAAGGTCTTTAATACTAAAAGTGTCCTAATCATCAAAAGATTTATAAAGCTATATTGGTTATTTATCTAATCTTTATAAGATTTTAAATAGCGAATTATCAATTAATATGTCATCTATAGCACTTGTAATAAAATTAACGAATTAATGATCATTTTAATTTTATATTTTTAATTAAATTTGATTTGATATATTTTAATTTATATCAAGTTTTGATTCTTTTTTTATTCTGAAAAATAAAGTTTCTTTTTCTATATTTCCTATATTTTAAGAAACTAAAGAAGATTTAACTTTTATTATATATATATAAATATATATATTTATAATTAATTTAAATTACATTAATTATTATTCAAATTATAATTTCCCCAATATATAGTACATTCAATTTCTCCTTCATAAATAGAAGGTTATATAGACGCCTCTAAAGTTAATTTAAGTTCTATAAATTCTTCTGGTTATAATTATCCTTAAGGAGGGTCTATAATAAACATATCATCACTAATATATAAATTATAAATATATAATAAATTATATATATATATATTATATATTATTTATATATATTTATATTTATATATATATTTATATATTTAATAATAAATATTACCAAACTAAACCTGGAGTTTTAGTACTAGAGCAGAAACCTTGAGTAAAATCATAAGTAAGTTTAGTATCTTTAGATAAATTATATAAAATTATGATCCTATGGGTAGGTTTATTTGGTAAAATTAATCCAAAATCTATTTCCTCTATCGAAAAGCAACATTTACTACCTATAGGAGAAACACTCGATCTTTATTATGGGATTTCATTATCTTTGCTTTTTATTTTCTTCGGAGGAGGATTTGCATATCCTTATCCACTAATAGTTAACCTTATTTCTTTCAAAGGTTTCATATAGTCCTAGGCTTTAATAACTAGTATATGGTAGTATTTTTTAGCTACACTAGGTTTAAATTGACAATATAAGTAAGATCTTTCATTTGGATTAAGGGAGCCTTCTGGATTCGACACTGAGAAAGTATTAAATGCCGATTCTATATTTTCTCCATTTTAATTAATCTCTTAAATATCCACTTAGTAACTTATTTTTGTCGAACCCACATTCTATATCTCTATAGGATATTTAATAGGCTAAATCATTCCTATAGGGCAATCTGGCAAATCTATTTTTTTTTTCTTTACTGTTAACATCCCTTAATTAGGTGACAATGTAGTTCCTTTTAAATTAATAACTAAAGGTTTTCCATTAAAAATCTAAAGAACAACCCTCAATACATGGCTCTAATTCTACTAACTAGACTTCTCCTATTATTATTTAAAACACTGCGAAAAATCGTCTTCGACATTACCTGGACTATAAATTAATTAAATATCTTATAATTACATAGGTTTTAAGGTTCCAAACTTAGGTATTATTTAAAATATCTTTTTTTCCACAATAGCTCTCTCATAAGCATCTTCTTCTTATAGTTTTCCTGGATCAGCCCAAGGTTCAACATCAATCTTTTTAAATAATAATAATAATAATAATATTAATAAAAATAATAATAATAATAATAATAATAATAATAATAATAATAATAATAATAATAATAATAAACTTACTTAGGAATCAGAAGGTAATTTAAAATGATAGTCTAATTCTGTTCCTCCTGTATTTTAAATTGTTACTACAATAATTCTCGGTTTTACGCTTTTTTTATTAGATAAATAACCGAAGTTCCAAGTGTAGTTTTTGAGACTTTTTTGCAATTTTTATGCTTATTCTATATTTAATTGCTCTATATTTAGAAATTAAATTTCGTTTTCATTTAGGTCTTTTCCTAGTTCTTAATTTATTTTATTAATTTAGAAATTTTACCATAATTAAGTCACTGAAACTACATCATTTCGAACATCAATTATTTTTAAAAGGGGGTAATTTCCAACAGCCTTTAAAAATATACAATCTTTCAGTATTAATTTTTCCCTATTTTATTCATTATTACATGCATAAACTTGTAATTTTAAATTAAATTTATTGACCTATATAGGAAAAAAATACACATTTAAATCTATTTTAGAATGAGCTGCTAATATACTTTCTTAAATATCTAATTTGAAGTTTTTTTCGATTAAAAATTCATTTTTTTCTTCTTTTTCTTCCTAGTTTTCATCATAAACTAACTTAAAAAACACAAAAAATGTACAATCAGACATGTTTTATATTTAGACACTCTTTTTTTCAGAAAAGTTAACTTTTACAATCTTAAAATCCAACACTCTTGGCTAAACTAGAATATTCCCATCATTTCCTTCTCCTTAAACTTCCATTTATATATCCATTTTTTCCTCCTCTTAGTTTTTAGTAAATAATCCTGATCCTGGATTAAACACCCCAACCATAGAATTTTACTAATTTTCGATTACATATGCACTTATAGTCGGTTTGATTTTATATTTTTTTTTTTTTTAAGGTATAAAGCTACAACAGATTGCTAATTTTTCGTTACTTTTCAAAACTCCTTCCTATGGTTCAAAAAATAATTCCTGGCTATATTTTGGAGGCACCTCAATAAAAAAATTCAAATTTAATAATGAATTATTCCAAATATTGAATTTTTATTTCGATTTTACTCCCAAAAAACAAGGCGAAAAAAACAGTTTTCCCTCATTTTCAACCTTTAAATTAATTTTGCTACAAAAAGCCTAAAGAAAAACTTTTTTTAAATTATCACTTTAATGATTAAATTAAATTTATAAAAAAGTCTCATATTTTTAAGACTCTTTAGGCTAAAACTAAGTACTAACAATACAAAAAGACTTCCCATAAATCAACCCAATTTAAGGAAAAACCTAAAAAACGTCATCTTAATCTTTAAGAATTCTAAAGAATACTGGAGTATCACTTTTATTATGTATTTCAAATGTTTAAAAAGTGGTTTCACCTAATCTACAGTTATTAAAGTATACTTTTTCAGGTTATAAATGTATTATAGGTATATATATTTAATTAGGATTAGCGAAAGAATGACCTATACAGTATAAATAACCACAAAAAGGAGGAATAGTTTCATCAGATATATAATTATTTTAAGTTTTAATTTATTAGGATGTTTATGATGAATATCTTAAATATATAAATATATATATATATATATATATATATATATATATATATATATATATATATATTTTTTATAAATTTAAATTTTTATTTACCTTAAATTTTATTTTTTATTTTATTATTATTATTATACTTATTGTTATTCTAAAGATTGAAATTTTAAAGATTAAGTTAATAGAGACTTTTAAAATTAATCGGCCATATTTTTAGTTAATTTTTCACTGTATTTATATGCAAAAAACTACAATGATTGATAAAAATAAAAATTATTTTTTATTGGTCTAAAGGATATTTCGAATGTAAAACTTTAATTTTCTTTAATTGTTGCACTTTCGGGTCTTACAGAAAATATAGACATATGATTATCTATCTATGAATTTTATTTTTATGTAGTCCAGAATATAGTTATATTACAATTCATGTTATTTTTTATACTTATTTATCTTCCTTAACTAAGTGACATAAAATCTTGATAGTCAAAATCTAAAAAGTCTTACTATTTTTATAATTTATATATATAAATATATATATAATATATATATATATATATATATATATATATATATATATTATTTTTACACTTATTTAAAGTAATCTATTACTACTTGTAAAAGGTAAAATAAATTCTTTTAAAATTTGAATTTAAGTGAGTTCCAATATAATATTATTTTTCGAATAAATTTAATCAATAATTTAATCTTCTTATCCTTAAATATTTTTATTTTCTTCTCTTAAAACATTATTATTATTACCATTATATTTTTTACTATCTTCTTTATTATTTTTTACCGAAAAACTATTTTAGCTGTATATATCTTTATTTTTTATTTTTCTATTTCCTTCCTTAAAATTATCAATTTTATTATTAAATTAACTATTTTATTATAAAAATTACTATTATTTCTATTTAAATTCTCCACTAATTTTTAACAAAATAGAATTTTCCATATATTTAAAATCTATAAAACTAACTCTTCCTTCTATAATTCTTTATCTAAAATTATCAATTTAATTCTATACAATAGGTAATGGTTTAAACAATAAATCATAACAAGTTCCCAAAACATCCAAAAATAAAATTTTTTTATGTCCTAATACACAAAAAATCCTTTCATAATAACAAATAGTATTAATCGGCTGAAAGAGTATTAAAATCCTAACATGAGACTTTCCTTTAATTACTCCAATTTAATTATTTGCCTAAAAAACATTTCCTAGTTCATTAAAAATTTAATATCTACACTCCATATCTGAATTATTATATAATTTAACTAATTTACTTTATTAATTCCCAATTTTAATTTCTCCAAAATTCACACTTTTTACATCAAAAAAAACATCGAAACCCTCCCCTTCCCCAATAACGGAAAATTCGACAGGATTTCCTCCCGGAAATAAAATTTCCCAATGTTAAATATACACTAAATCCTATAATTATGGTTTAAAATTAATATTTAATAAAAAAATTGAATTTCCGGGTATTTATCCCTCTTTGGCGTCTAAAAAAAATGCTTAATGTATATTTTCGTCTGTATTTTTTTTTTAAATGGTGAATTCTGTTTAAACTTGAGAAATATTTTTTATGGAAATTTATTTTATCAAGCTTTTTCCTATCAAAAGTTTACCGAAATTCACTTTTTTACTCGATAATTATAAATATACATATTTTCCTACACCACTAATTTTTATTATTCGAGCATCTTCTTTTTCTATATTTAAGATTACTGTACTTACTAATGCTGATGCTTCAAAAGGAGTAAATTATATTTATATTTATTAAACTTGTTTTGGCATTAGTTTACCAATCTAAGGATTTATATGGAATATTTTAGACTCAAAATTAAAGTCTATGGGATATTCGTTGGGATTTTAAAGATAAAATTTCCTAGTTTAGGATTGATAAACTGCTTAAAAGCCGAAATCAATTGAATCTTAAATGTCTGTTTGGATAGGTTTATGGATTAGTTCTTTATAGTTTTTATTTGAAATAGATTTTAATAGATTTTAATATTCATTTTATTCCATTTTTTTAACTTCTTGTATATTATATTTTATTTATTTTAGATATAAATTATAACTGTTTTAATTTTTATTAAAGAAATTAATTTTAATTAAAAAAAAAATTATATATTTATTTATTGTATTATTTCATAAAAAAAAAAAAAAATTATAAAGATTTTGAATAAGATAAAAAAAAATATATAAATTTTAAATAATAAATAATATTTTAAATTAATAATTCTTAATAAAGAGTAAAAGTTTGTAAAAAAAATAAAAAAATTAAAGTATACTTATATATAAATATAATAATATTTATATTTATATTTATATATATATATATATATATATATTTATATATATATATATATATACATATCAATAATATATATTTAAATATTGCAAAATTAATTATTTTATAATACTTTTTTTTCTAATATAATTAATTTTGATAATAATTTTTGTTAATCTATAATATATATAAAACATTTTATATGTAACCAATAACTTTATATTATATAAAATCTGTTTATTACCCTTAATCTTTTCTTTAGCTATTTTATAAGTTTTTAATAGTAAATATTTTTCAATCTTATTTCTTGGAATTATTTACTTTTTTTATACATAAATTTATTATTTTTATGATATTTTTTATTCACACTTAAACCAAAAATATTTTTTTTTTTGTATTTTAATAAATTAAAAGTTTAAACCATTTATATTTTTTTTTAAAATATATATATAAATTATTTTAATTTATGTAAAATTATTTT